ATACCCGCGCCCCCGACCTCGAGGACCATTTAAACACTGCATATAACTGAGCGGAAGAAGAAGACTTGATCTCTGAGACAATACGTTTATTAGCCTGACGTTTCGACATTTGTCGCGGATTCATCATCAGAGACATGAATAGGAGACAGTAGCAGAAAAGGTAATGTGCGCACAGAATTTTGCCTCATCGCATGCCAACAACGGAGAGCTAGATGGCCGAGCAATCATCACGCCCGAGCCCACTGCCTGCGATGAGAGTTCAAAAGGTCAGAGCCCGCGTGCCGTCCAACAAACTGTCCACGCGCAAGAAAGCAATTAACGTTTATTTTCACTGTATTTTTGCAGTAATGCCTGTATCCTATAAATACTGCAAACTTCTGTGCATGCATTACCCTTTTCTGCTTCTGTCTCCTACTCATGTCTCTGATGATGAATCCGCGACGGATGTCGAAACGTCGGGCTAATAAACGTATTGTCCCAGCGATCGAGTCTTCTTCTTCTTAAGTGCTTCCTGGGACACGCATGTTCGCTTGTATTGGCACTACATATAACTGACCGTTTTAACCACTGCAACGGTATTGACCTGATGACGAATTGTTGAAAACATCTGCTTGCCAAGATGTCTTCCCAGTCATAAAATGGGAATATTTGTAGAATTACTCCGATTTCCTTGGATAGCCTAGTTTGGCTGCCACAGAGACGGCTGCAAGCAGTTTGCACGCAAACTGGTCCTGCGTGCCTGAAATAACTTCCTAGGAACGCCACAGTTATCATGGCCATAGGCTACCAGGGCCAGACGTCCGCATAAAATTGTCTTTCCCCTGCGGCCAGTACCCTCTGAGGTACATCAGAAGACCGACGGCCATTTTGTTTACTTCCCTCCCCCTCTCTTACCCGCAAAATTGCACGATACTTTCTAGTTTTCCCGCATCTATTGTACGCATTTGGAAAGCAAAATATGAACGTAAATTTTTGACGGGCATTTATTGAAAGCCAACGTATGATCGCCTAATTACAAGGCCAATAACCAAACTGCTTTTGTTTAACTGAGACGGCCAAAATGGCATGCATGGGGAGACGGGGCGATGCCTGCCCATGATTAACTGCCTTTGAGGCACCACACAGAAGGCAACGAAGGACCATAAAAATGGTATCGTACAACGACTTTAACTTACGTTCCTCGCTTTACGTTGTGGACCATCTGGAATAGTAGTCTTGCTTGTAGAAGCTCCTACAGTGCTTTGCTTTACTTGATGTTGTAAACGCTTTAGTTGCCCAGTCACGAATTTAAGAAGTGGTTGCTAGTATATTTGTAATAAAGATCCTCATGAAAACCTCAAATCCAGGCGGTGCATGAAAGTCGTATGCCAGTGGCTTCTTGAAGCCGTAGTAGAATTGCAACAAGACGGTCATCGTCAAAACTGAGGCCATATAATAATCACGACAGTTGCAGAAGATGCAAATTTATGGAATTTTTAAGCCAGGGCGATACGTACAGCACGCGCCAGAATTCGTGCACCATGCCGACATATGCGAAAGATTGATCGTATTTCGCTAAACGGCATGGGCTCAGGTTGTAATACTGATTATCGTGTAGCATTTTCTGAAGTTACTTCAGTCATGATAGGATGCGGGCTTTTTAACAAACTTCGTTTTGACCACTAAGAAAACGTATGTACTGTAAAAAGTGGCTGCTTGAATTGCATGCGTATTTATCACTGATTTTGAGCGCTTTTAAAAATTCGAATGTATTTAATGCAAAACATGCAAAAATAATTATTTATTTTACACGTTTGGTAGCAACTTACGCCTTTTTTAAATTTCCTACTTAAAGAAAGGGTGTCTTTTTTTAAAAAAATATTTCTAAATGGCTGAATAATTTGGAAACCTATTCACTACTACATTTGAATTCAAGGTTTACTACCTGCACACTGTGTACATCCTGTTTAAGGAAAAGTATTTTTTCACCTACAGTTTGGGGAAAAAGTCACATAGTTCTCATAAGATTTCGTAAACGATGTGGAGCATGCTTTATACAGTATAGGCAGCAGTAAATTGACGGATACGATATATTATGCATAAACACCTTAAAATCATTAAACATCTCATAATTAGAACTTTTTCTAAGATCGAAAGATGCCCTTTCTTTAAGTAAAAAAATTTAAAGAACGCGTAATTTGCTACAAAACGAGTACAAGAAATAATTTTTTCGCCCATTTTCTTCATGAAATATATGCTAATTTCTAAAGGCCGTCAAAATTAATGAAAAAATACACATACTAAATGAATTGCTACTTTTAACAGTACATATTTTTTGTCATTGGTCAGAACGAAGTTCGTTAAAAAGCCCGCTTGCTATCATTATTGAGTTTTTTCTTCAGAATAGGCTACACTATAATCCGTTTCACGACATCAGTCAATGCCGATTAGCGGAAACTTATCAATCTTTCGCATATTGCATGAATTCTGGCGCGTACTGTATATGCAGCCTACCACTTCAACCATGTTCGACAAATTACTTATATACTGAGCAGAATGCGCCGTTACTTGCTAAGCTATTCTAAAGACCATTTCCTAGTCACTGAATGAACCATTTAAAAAGCGAGATTTCCGTCAGGTAAAGAAAACATTTGTCAATTTTGAATTTATTTTTCTTTCATTTTTCACAAATAATGTTGAAGTGTTGATATTATTGCAGCAGAAGATGTTACGCAAAGTCTACTTTCACTTGAAACTAACTCACACTTATCATTGTGAAACGCGTAGGAGGAGCCCGACCCCCGCCCCCTCGACATTCCGTTCTCCGTCTTGACACTAGCTTCAGCCAGGTGAGAGAAGAGAGAGTCCGGTAGATGCAGCGGAAGTCTACTATCACTTAAAACTAAATCACCGTAAGTCAGCATCCATTCACCAACCAGTTTAAAGCACATGGTAGACATAATCGACATCGATGTTCAAACTATCGCAGGATAACTGCTAAGATAAATATATTTTTTTTTACTCAGTCCCGTATGCAGTCGAAATAAGTGATGTGCATTGAATCCAAAAACGTTTTGTCATAGGAGAATTTCCGATTCCGCAAACTATTGCTCTCGTACATAATTGACACCTTTGTAACAGACCCAGTACAACTGACACAAGCAGCACTACTTAATGAGAGACTATCCGATTCGAACGGACACTAGAATCCTCTCCCGCAGCCCACTGTCAAACGCTATTGACGAGTTTTTGATACGGGGGCCTGAAAACATCAACTTTTGGCTACCCAACCTAGACACATTCTTATCGGCTGCATTTAATGAATACGGAAAGATGCCAAAGTCACGTGTGTGCCTTTATTATCAAAAGAAACAGCAGAATGTTCTCACATTGAAGCTCTACGATAATGCTCCCATGTGCATGTGTGTGTGCGGCTGTTATTTACGGTTTTCGATGTCGGTGTGACGCTGGATGAGGGTATATTCCGGCGGTCGGGCAGGCGGACGGGTGTTTCCCCGTCTGTGCCTACTGAGAAGGAAAAATTAGTCTTCTCCATCTCTGCGGTATCGTATGCCCCCGGTGAGATATTCCAGCGCGCGTTTCCGTTGGTAATCACGCAGTGGGGATCTCTTGTAGCGAATGCCGCCCAGCAGGTAGGGCAGTTTTCGCTTATGCTCCACTAAGTAGCTGCTCAGCCCTGGCAAATCCATTGGCGTTTCATCGTCCAGCACGTAGGGTGGCGGCTCAACTGCCACTGCCTTGAAAAAAAAGGAAAATTGGAAGAAAAAATAACTGGTCATTGTTATGTTTAAATAAAGTAAAAAACATACTCGTATACAGCCAATAAACATACACACACACCGAGTCATATGTACTTGTACCGCTGGCGTTTAATGTGTTCCCCGGTCGTGGATTAATGTCTGATCTCTAGATGAGGATTACATTCGACAGCAGTATTTACTGGTGTTAAGCATAAACAATTATGTGCTTTGCACTTATACCAATTAGTCCATAAGAAAGCACTTTGCAGTTAAACATGAAGTGCGACTAGCGCTGAAAGAGGGCTAACACTTCTGATAGTGCGTTCACATTTATTGCCAAGAACGGAACCGAGGAAACATCAAAGCCGCCTCCGCCCCCAAACGCTAAGGGAAAACAAGAACCAACCAATCATCGGGACCCTGTTTCAAGGAAACGCACCAAGTGAACTTTGAAGAAGGCAGCAGCGTTCCAGCAGTCGCTGACAAGTGTTCTCGATTACTGTCATCCTATATTGAGAGCTCAAAGGCAAATTGCCAGTCCAGACCGCCTCCATATGCATGTATAAGTTTGCCTACTCGTATGAGGCACGAGCTAGCACGAGTCGCATGTTCTTGTGCCATTGGCGTTTGATGTGTTTCACGTTAGCGGATTAACTTTTGATATATGGATGCGGGTTACGTTCGACAGGAGTAATTATTGGCGTAAAGTATAAAACAGTACGCGTTTTGCTTTATTCTAAATCCTGTTGAGAGTTGAACGTCATCCTATAACACAACATTTTGTAAAAACAGTGACCACTTGTTTAAAAGAGCAGCGCAACCACAATGGAATACGACTAACCTCTCATTAAAAGTCGCGGATCTGACTTTTTGACAATAAATTTCTCACGCTCAAACTAGTGAACCGGAGCCACGTGTGCTTCTGAATTATAAAACCCAAATAGAGTTTGTGACTGCTTTGAGATTTGCATGTCGACCAAAGCTGTTTTACTTGTTAACCGTAAGCTGAGAGGATATTTGGCTTGGAAAACTTATGAAAATTATTTAAATGGTGTTTACTAGGACCTTTGAGCTAAATGATACATTTATGACAGACATAACTGGTCTTAACTGGCGCTTATGAGGTTAATTAAATAGGATAATGCTGACGAAAGCAGTGTCACAATTATGGCATCATGCTGCGAGATCTGTGAAGGTTGATCACCCCTGACGGTTTTTCGTTTTTAGCGTGAGATGAGCAACTAGTCAATTTGCTTTCTATTAATTTGCGATCAGCATCGAAAGTCCCCTTTGGCACAAAATGTCAAAAAAGTGAACTTTCATTCAAGATAATTGGGCAACAAAAATGAACGACCATTAAAATCTATGGAGGAACGCAGAGCTAGTTTTTTTCATACCGGAATCAGTGGAATAAGGTC